TTCATACCAACCTCCTTAAAAAAATTCCCAAAAAGTTTGAAATAATTGGTAGAGCAACATCTTTACAACATCTCGAAAAACAGGATTTGTAGAGGCAATAAAATACATTGGCCAGCTAAGTTTATAAATTTAGAGGCACCCACTTTTCCCCTCATTTTTATCTATGTGTAGAAGTAAAGCTACAACAGTTTTTAAGAATGCAGACAGAAACTCCCCTAGATTTCTGTATCGCCTTTGAACTATCTGAAGCAATTTAAAAACAGTTGATTTGATTTGACACTTCAAATTGCTTCAGATATTAAAGATTTGATTTGAAGGGCTGATTTGATCAAATTTCTTTAAAACTGAATAATCCCTTTGAAGATCCCTAAAGTTTTATTTTCTACACAAGTACTTCATTATTTTCAGATCTTCATCATTCTTCAAGTCTACATTTTAGAAGAAACTTTGAATTTAAGAATGTGATAACACAGCAATCATGTCTGGCATGTATGGTATAATAATTTGGTAATAAATTACTTTAATAGAATTACTGAAGTCACAGTGATATATTTACAGTGAGTTTATCTGAGATTCCCTCCCTCCCATTACTTTAAAGGAAATGAAATACCATATATTAATAGAATTCTGTGATAATTGAATTCTTAACAATTATTTGAGATTTGCATTGCCAGTGTTCAGTACAGAGATCTCTAAAGCAGCCTTGTTATAAGGAACCAGGAGTAGAATCTATGAAAGTTAAAACCAGTATTGTTTGTCATTTAAAATAAAAGCTGAACTTCTAAAATTACAAATGTAGGTCCTGGAATATTTTTTTTTCTTTTTCTCTACTGCTATTTGACATTAATTTGCATTACACTGTGGTTCCCCCCCCCACCCATGACTCCATGCCTCATCAAAGTCATTACTGTGCAAACAAAATAAATAGGAAAGAATGCAAAAACAGCTGAACAAAAAGTTATTTGGATAGCATAAGTGTTGTAAAACAACTAAATATTTTGCAAAAGCAGTCTTTATACGTGTGTGAACCTTTCTGCTCCAGTTTCAGCTCAGTCTTATCCAAAGTGTGTTTCTTCTTCCAAATTATCTGTTGAACCTTACAATAATTCATATTGATATCTGTCAGATTTTGGTTCTATTTTTTAGTGCACATATATGTTTAATTTTATCTGTTCTGATATGAAAGTGACCATCTGTAGGTGATAATCTGTTCTGAGTAATGACATAAAATTGATAAAGATTTCATCAATGATCTTTTGCCCTTTTCTCTTCATGGCTTAGCTAAGAATGATCTTATGGATTTCATCTTGGCTGGAATGCCCAAGTGGAATGATATATAGTACTTCATTATTCTCACTGCTTAATACCTTCAAACATTATTTTTATCCACGTTAAGTGAGAAATAGGCGATGGTGAACAAACTATCTTGTAGAGTCAAATCACTTCCTAGTCCAATTAAGATTGATGGCAAAACCAAACCAAACCAAACCAAGACTTACACTTTTTAGAAGAGCTTGCTTCAGATACCTGAAGAATTTGGTGGGTTTGTAGAGGGCACTTGGGATTTTTCCCCATTATTGTACAATTCTGCTATATGCCAAGGAAGGAAAATATTTGTAGCTCAGGGTTGAGATGAGAGGTCCTTGGTGATCTCTTAGCCTGCTTGCTTTCTTACAGATGTTTCATTACCCAAACTAGGTAACTAATGATGTTACCTAGTTAGGGTAATGAAACATCTGCAAGAAAACAAACAAGCTCGAAGAGCACCAGGGACCCCTCTGTTGTGTGCCTCGTAGACTCTAGTAAGTGGAGGCAGCCAGGTCTCCTCATAAAACTGTCAAACAGCTTTTCTTTCAAAGCTGATCTCAGAATGTACCCTACCTTCTTCAATTAATTCTGGGAAATGAATTTTAGAAGCAACACACAAAACCCAGGGAAAGGAGGTCCAAAAACCAACTTGGTTAAGCATGGATAGAAGGACAAATGGAGCAGGACTATGACAGTGAGTGTATATGTTCTGCAAGCATGCGGTTTCCAGTATTATGCAGACACTTGTCAGTCTCCTCACTATCTATGGTCTCATATATGTCTACACTGAAATCATACAGAGCTCCACAGGCACCAGAATTGCCAACCCTACTCCTGATTCATTCATTTGTGAAGATGGCAGACAACAGTCACAATCTTCCCTAAATTTCTTTCAGCATAATTTTAATTCCCATACCGTTAAATACAAATTTTACTTCAGATAGCACAAGGATCACAATGATTGTTCTTTATGAAATAAATTAAGCATCATTCTATGGAATTGTTTGTCTCGGCAAACATTCCTTATTTAGCAACTGCTTTTTGGTGACTGCTCGCAGTTACAGCTGTGATGAGATAGTTACTTACAACCAATCTTCACATTTACAACATTCGAAAGAAAGCAAAAGTAGTATCATAAGTATGGTCATGGTTTCACTCAGCGACTACTACTTCGCTTAACAACTAAGTTACTGAGCCCATTGCTAATTACCTATATTTTCTTTTACATTCTCCTTTGCCCCTTTTCTCACTTGATGAGCATCCTCATCCTGTTAATTTTCAAGTGATTTCTTAAATTTAATATTAAAATAAACTGGGTTTCAAATGCCTGCTTCTGTTGTAGCCTATGTGTGCTCATTGTGCCTGGTAAGTGGTAAATGTTGTGGAGTTCTTTTTACAATCAAAAATTATGCATTCCAAATCCTTCAATCCACTTTATGCCTGTTTTAATCTCTTCTTTAAAAAAACCAGAGGTATCCTTATATTAATTATTAAACTGAAATCAATTTGCACATTAAAACCCCAGGATATCTGAGCAAAGATCAATAGCCTCATTGTGCTATTAAAGAAAATCTCTGATAATCCACATTTTAACAAAATAGCAATTATTCTTTGTTATCTGTTCTTTTTTATTTCAATTACAAACTAAAATGTTTAAAAACAGAAATAAACATGCTCTTAATTTGTAGCCATTCCTATTGAACCTGACATTCAATGAATAATAATTACTATTTACCCTTGTAACAGCCTTTTATTCTGCATCCCTATTCATCAAATAAGAAAGGGAAAAAAGGTGAGAAGAAAAAAATGCTTGTGCTTCAGTCTAATGATTTATTATTCTACTTCTACAATAAAAGAAATTAGATACAGAATGTAGTTTGACCCACTCTGATCACCATAAACCTGTAAATGAATACTTTTTACATTTAAGATTAAAGGGTGCAACATATTTCCTATTCAAATAATAATCAGTTCTAGCCCACAATCAAAAAATAATCCAAACCTAATCCAGAGCAAAAGGATTACCAGAAACACAGATCAGCATGGGATGCTAACTTTCTAATGGCAGTTTGGTATTTCCCCAAGCACATTTTCTACATGGATAATATTCAATGGCTTGTCAATATTATAGGATAATTAAGCTGTAGCTTTATTCACAGTCCAGAATCAAACTGCATTTTCCCTCTACAATACACTTCCACATCCTCTCTCCATCTTCTTTCCTTGTCCCCATTTCTTTTAACTTCTTTTCCCTAGCATGGGTTTTTTCATCCAACAGACAAAGGAATGACAAGATGTCCCTCTGACACATCAAATCAATAATAGTAATAGTAATATTAATAATAATACACATTAGGAAAACTTGAAGGCCTCTAATGGTATTTGCATGTGGGTGTGCTATGACAAATACAACAAAATCAAAATTAGTTCCATAGAGGTAAATATAGCTGTCACATAGCAGATGAATTGCCAAAGAAACTCCTTTTGAAAAAATAATGAAGCTTGCTGATGTTAATACGCACCACCCCTTCCACCAATTATTTTATTTTCTCCATGACATCTTTCTTCATCAGTTAATCCATGAAAAGCTTCCAGTATAGGAGACAAGGGAAGATACTTGTATCAATGCTTGAATCTTAACTACACCAAAGTAATGCAAATGGGAAACCGGATGATGTATACAGATACAAACAGAATATTAAATAAAATTACATCTGATAATATTGAAGAGTACAACAAATAATTAAATCTGTATTCATATTACAAGATAACTATAATACAAAATGAACTGTAATCAGCCAAATTGTATCCCTAAGGACCTGGAACTCAGATTCAAAGGCTATCAGATATTTGGTTTTAGTTGAAGTAAGGTCTTGTTTGTGGGTTTAAAAGAAATTGTTCCCATCAACAATGAATAGAAAGCATCTAAAGTTAGTGCATTGAGTTTAACATCAACCTCACTATGATTTCTCAAAAATGTAAGGAATAGAACAAGATGACAGCATTTCTACTTATGAAGAAAAGTTTGCTAATGTTCACTAAGACATTTAATTGTAGTTCATCATTATATAAATAAAATCTGTTTCTATAATCTGCCAAGGTCAGTTTATCAACTTGTGGGACTAGCTTTGATATACATTCTTATCATACATAAATTGCCAAGAACAACATTTTGAAAATTCAATGTATCTAAAAAGCATTGAATGTATTTGAGTAAAAATTGATATTTTTACTTGTTATATTATTCTCAGTGTGAAATGCAGTTTAGCAAAGCTCAGTTCATGGATTTCACATATTCAGAGGTTAATCCAATCGCAAATGCTAACAGCTGACTGAAGGTATGAACCATGGTTCTGTTATCATTGGCTGTACTATACATATATATATGCATATATGTATATTCAGCACACAAAATACAGTCATCATTTAATGTGTGATCTCAATCAACATTTATGACTGGGAAAAACCTGGCACATAAAAACAAACAAACACCTCAACTGCTCTCCCAGTACAGGACTAGGGCAAGCTGACTGCAATCACAATATTTAAAAGATATTTCTTTCTAGATGAAAACAAAGCCCTTAAATATACAAACTTTTTAAAAATTAATATTATAATTCTACAGTAACTCTAATAAAGGTGATACCCTAATAAACTATTTTTAAAAAAATGTTATTTAAAAAAACACTTACCACGCAAGACAGTAAGTCTTGTGGACACACTTATTTCTCCAACACTGTTGGATGCAACACATTCATAAATAGCTTCATCTCGCGGAGTTCGTAATGGTTGTATTCTGAGGACTGATCCAGACCCATCATCAAACTCTATTACCTATTGAAGGAAACAACAGCTGTCACAGGTGTTGTTACAAACACCTACCTCTTGGTTATTCCCGTATAAATTAATAACTAGGCTATTCTACATTCCTCCTATATAACTGTTTGCAATTCATTAAAGGGGTGTTTTAAGTACAGTTAAGTGCAAAAAATAATGTGTTACTGAAACTTAGTTGACCTTATGCTGATCTTTGACCTGAACACAATAGGACAGTGATTTGAGCCATTAGAACAGGGGTGTCAAACTGCCAGCCCTGAGGCCAGACACGTCACGCGGAAGCCGCACCCACCCCATTGCCAGCAATGGCAAAACTGTCCCGATACGTTGCATGACGTCATGTGACCGCGAGTTTGACATGTCTGCATTAGAAGATAGTAGATGCATATCTATAATTATTGCACCAATTCTTTTCAAACTGCATCAATACCTTGAATCTTCAAAATAACTACTAGACACTTTGCATCAGCTGGCAGCAACAAATTAAAACTACTGAGGTGAACTTGACTGTAATATTCAGGGAGTTTCAGGCAGTAGTCAGACTGTGACACTATAAATGAATCTCAGTTTTCCTCAAGGCATCAACTCTGAGGACATATTAGGGCTATCATATCTGGATGGCAAGAGTTCATATGAATGGTAAATGGCCATAAAGAGATTGAGAAAACTCTTAATACATTATTGTTATCTAATGGTTATATGGGTTTTTGTAGCCCAAATATGGTAGTCCTAATAATATTCCATTTTATATAAATATTTAATTAATGACTGAAAGCAAAGAAATTCTACAGATAACTATTATCCAAAGCATTATAAAATTATTTGACAAGACATAGAATATAACTTGTTAATGCATCCTGCAGATACTGGTATCCAATTATCAAAACAATCATTATTAGTTGAACCTTTGAGCACGGCTTCGTGCTTGTGTGAGCAAAGTGTGATCGGAGCTGCTGTCTCTCTATAAATATTGGTGGGGGTGTGTGGAGTGCTGGCTTTGTTGCTGTAGGTGGGTTGGTTGGCTGTGTTGGAGTTATTGTTTGCGGATTGTTCGGCTGTTTCGTAACATCCTGAGTAGCTGAGGTGCTGGCTGTGTGCCCATTAGTCTTTTGTGTTGTAACGACCTGGGTAATGGGCTGTGTGATGACATCCTGAGATCTAGTGTAGTAATATCCTAAGTTCTGTGTTGCAACATCCTGGGTGGTTGGCTGTGTTGTAACATCCTGAGCTGTAGCGTTGTAACCTCCTGAGTTCTGTGATGTGAAGTCCAGAGCAGAAGGCTGTGATGTAACATACCAGGCTTTGGTTTGGCTCCGAGTTTGTGGTCTAGCTCTGTGTTCATGGCGTGTGTCCAGTTGCTTTGTGTGGGGGTCGGAGGGAGGTGCAACAGCTGGTGATGTCGTTGTGGTTTGGCTTCTGGATGGTGGTTGCATTTCGTCTGAGGGATGGGTTTGGGATTGGGTTTAGGTCTGGTGAGGGTGAATGGTGGTGGCATCCTGTGTTGTTCTGGGTCCGGTGTCGGTTTTCGTGGCTGGGACTCGTTTGTTGATTAGGGATTAGGGCTAGTTTTATATATATATATATATATATATATTTCTAATAACACTAAAACTAAAACAGTGACTCCTGGGTGTGATCATCTTTCCAAAAACAAACTGTGAACACCAGGAGTATATCAAACTGTACAAAGTTTAATAACATAAAACATAAAACAAAACTACACCAAGCTTTCGTCGGACTCCTTCCGACTTCGTCAGGGTTACGTGCC